GCACCACGGACTCTAGCTGTCAGTTACCATGTCTGGAAGCCAGACTATAATTCAGCAACCATAAAGTACTCAACATGTTAGAAGAAAACCACTGGAACCAAGACTGTGATTCAGTAAGGTTTAGAAGGAACACTGCCTAATAATAAGCATTTTCCTAATGACCTGTCTCATGTCTGCTATCTGCAGGATGACAAACAAGCAATCAGAGCCAAAGGAAACTAATTTCGCAACTCTTCCTGAAAGATAAATTCTTCCAGCATTATCTCTGTGAAACACCCATGACATCTAGTGGTACAGGGTTCTATACAGAGTTTGTCTGACTCCAACATTTTGTTGGGATGTTCCCAACAAAAATCCCAAGACCTTAAAATAATAAAGCTGTATATTTTTTTACCACAATTTACTCAACTTATTTTTTCTAATGAAACAAGCAAAGTAAATATTTCATTTAAATCCTAGTAGAAAATTTCTTTCCTCTGAATCAGTTATTCAGTCTCCCCAGTATAGAAAGGATTAACAGGTTTTCAAGGCTAGAATATGATGCTTTACTATGTTTTAATTTTTTTTTTTATATTGAGGAGGAGTGGTCTGGTCTCTTTGTGAATAATGTAATACATACTGGTGCCCATTACTGCAATATTTCCTTTATAACAAAATTATCAATATAATCATAGATAAATTATAATTTACATTGGATGGTGTCAGTATTTAGCAAGTGTTAAGAACAAACATTCTTAAGATTCTTAATAGCTTCTGTATGATAGGTTATGTTTATGATTAAGTTTGTCAAGTGACAATTTCAGTGGTGACATTTCTATTTAGAATTTAATCAGCAGGAGTCTGAAAATGTACGAACCTCAGTGAAGGGGAAAGTGTCTTTTTTAGCTGTCTACATGCAGATATTTTCAGTACTTTTTTAAAATATAAGAAAGACATCTACAGCCATATGAGATTTAGACAGGCCTTCCAAAGCAAAACATTTGTAAGCTGAAAAGCCTGCAGCACCCTAAAGAAATACTCCCACTATCAGTTAACCTAATCTAACTTCCTCTCTTCTTTGTTGCAAGAAACACCATATTTATTACAGAGTTACCTGATCTACTCTCCCTTGGGGAATGGCTCACCCCTCATGTCTTTATTTCAACATATTGTATGTTGCTTGTAATATTAACTCTCTGTATACTTTTAAAATGTGGAACAACAGACTCTTGCACACCGGAGACAGATTAGGCTGGGAAAGCAGACAGAGCACTGGCTCCACCATATGTGACATATGTTCTTCTGCTGCAGATCACTTGTTCAGAAGTCACATTGCAATTTTAGGACTGCTACACATGTCAGATTCTTTTGCTCCTTTAACATTATTACAGCAATGGTCAGCAGTAATGGATCAACTACACAATGCCCAAAGCCCTCTTATGTCCTGTTCTCTATCCTAAACATGACTACAAGGTTTTTAAGAAGAATATTTGTAAATCTCCTACCCAACGATAAAAGTCTGGCTGCAGAGGGGTCCTGCAGCCCTGTGAGCAGCAATGTTACAGCCTCAGCCTTTGAATGCAGGAGGGTCCCTCCACTTTCACCAGCACAAACCATCTCTGGCATTCAGCTAAGAAAGGACCAAATGCACTTAATGATCTGCTCGGCACTATGACATACATAAATCCAAAGAAGACTTTCAAAATAAGTAACAAAATAAACTAAAAAATCCCAAAGTATTCTGATATCACAAAGACATGTCAAAAACTCCATGAGTGGGAATTTTCAAAACACCTTAAAAGTTTCTCAGCATTACAGTGAATTGAATGATCCACTGCCTCAGAACACAGTTCTGATGTAAACCCTTTTTTAGCTGTATGCTATTTATAAATATATTTATATGCTATATAAATTTCTTGTCACATTTCCTCGAACTCTCCTTGGAAGAATTGACCTGAGCTCCATCCTTAGCTGCCAAGCCCTCATTTCCAGCTGAGGTAGATGAATGAGAGCATTTTTATATTGGTTTTACATTGCTGGTAGATGCAATTCCTCTTCTGCCAGTCCTCCTACTTAGGGTGGAAAGCAAGAGAAGTAGACATTGCCTGTGCCACCAGTAAATCACACCCTTGGCCAGTCTGTGCAGTGGAAGGAGCACAACGGGGCATTTTTCTCTTCAGGTTGTAGCAGGCCAATAAAGGCCTACTCTGCAAGGACAAAACAGTGGATAAATGTTCCTCTGCATATTCCTCCATTGCTTCTTCAGCCTCTTCTGAGTCTCTGTGACCTTCTGTGGACAATTTATGCAATAGGAGCCCCCGGACCAGAAAGAAGCCTCTGAGAAGTGTTGCCTTTTTGGGACTACTTGTACCCTTCCAAACACACTGCATAGTGGCCCTGGTACACACAGAGAAGTGCTGGAGCACCTTCTCTGCCGGACCTTTCAGTGATTTCTGACTAATATTACCTCTACCAACTTCCATTTCCAAGAGGCTCTTAAGCAGCAACCAGATTCTCTCTTTTCCTTTGGAAAGCTGGCAAAACCAAATTAGCATAAAGGAACATTAACTCCTTATAAAATGACAAAACTGAGTAAGGAAACCTTTAAATAGATGCTATCACGCTGGTTTTCTGAAATGCTGCCCTTCTTGCATGTACTCCATCTACAGTTCTAGGGTTTTAGCAACTACGTAAAGAGGAGGACAAAGACAGAAAGAAATTCTCTAAGGCAAGAGCTTCCAGAGCTATGACCTCTTCTTGCTGGGCATGCTGCTCCACCCCAGCAGCTGCTGCCAGGAATGGCTGTGGGGAGCCAGCAGCTGCTACTGGGCTGAAAGGTTTGTGACCCTCCAAAGAATCCTCCCCCTCACTCAAACGCTCTGCACCTCCCCACAGCTGCTAGAAGCAGCGTACACCCTTACTCAGCATTTCCCATAGACAGGTTAAGGCAGAAAAGCAAAAGCAGCAAGGGAGGGTCAGGACAGGAGTAACTGTACTTGGACACTGCTGACGGGGCTCACTGCACTCTCAGCTGCCAAGGTTCAGGATACCGAGGTTACTGGAAGGAAGTTCACAACACTCTGTTAGGAAGATGAGATTTTGCATCTTGCTTTCCTCCCTAAGAGTTACACCACTTCTAAAAACTTTAGTAATGCAAAGTGATGCTGTACTGCCTCATGCAATGTGGAACTTCAACAAACACCACAAGGCCAGGGTGCTACTGGGCACAGTAAATGGAAGTCTTGACTGAGTACAGCACAGCTGCAGCGTGCTCTGAATGTACTGGGTTCAAAGTCAGCAAAGCAGAAAAAACCTCCCTTGTGTTAACGGCACAACTGTTTTGAAGCCTAATTTGCTCTTGTCTTGAATCAAGAATAGGGCCAAAGAGTAAAAACAGCTAAACTAGTTAGCATGACAGTCATGACTAAGCTTGTACCAGATATCCTCACTCTCTTCTCACACCCATCTCTATCATGAACTCCTGATGGGAAAGGAGAAGCTACACAAAAGATGAGACCACTACCCATGTCAGAGACCACCACCTTAATCTTGTGAAAGTTGCCATTTCTAAAGGTACTTAGAACTGTTAACTACAGCATTTGCAATAACAAATAATGATGTTTCTTGATAAAGTGTACTTTTTTCATGCTATTTCTATTGCTATTTCAAGAAACAGGTTTTTGTTTTTTTTTCCCACAAAGGAATCTGATTAATATGCCAGGCAAACACAACACCACTAGTGGACTTGTCTGTAACAGATGAAACACGATTCTTAAAGCTTTATTTTCTTAAGGCAGTATAAAGGAAGTTACATACCTATTTTGTTCAGTATGAGTCATTATATAGAGCTGAAACTTAAGAAATAGCACAATAAGCAAAACATCCACAAATAACCAACTCTGGAAAGACTTCAGATCAGAGGTATTAATCTAAGATGTGAATGTGATTTTATTTTAACCAAAAGGCAAAGGGTGCAAATTAAGAGAGTGGGGATTGGAGTCCAGAACAATTCCATATTTTCTGCCTTTATCTTCAGTGAAGTATGAACATGGTCTCCCATGCAAACCAAGTTAAACTGCATGTGAATCAGTGTTAGTCACTCCAGCTGCTTAAGAACAGACATAGAACAGAATTTGGACTTTACATCACTATTAAAAAAGACTGGTAAGAAAGACACCAGGTCTGTGACTTCTGACAATGGCCATTCTGTGTTCTGTTCAGTGCTAGTTTCGAAGGAAAAAAAAAATGAAATTATCTGTTTATATTAGCTTTTTGGTAACCCTTCTGTAAAACCATAGTTAGTCTTGACATAAAGTAACAGAGCTACCAACTGTACTTGTTAAAAATTTAGATGCATTGAACTAAGTAAGAGTATCTTTGGCGTTACCTGTCGTAGTAACTCCTCCTGACGCATCCGAATTCGCTCCCTCTCCATCTGGATTCTCTGGAGCCTGAGCTTGTGCTGCTGCTGCTGCGAGGTGAGCGCGCCGGGCAGGCTGAGCAGCGCGGGGGGCTGCGGGGGGCGGCTCTGCTGCGGCACGGCCGTGCTGGGGGGCAGCTGCGGCTGGCCACTCATCACTGGGGGAAAGAAAAGAACTCATGGCACCTTGGGCAGAGCTGCATTTTCAGGTAGCAGAGGGCTCAGGACACATGCTGCTCAGTTACAGGGATGCATTATGAGAATTACTGTACTTCAAATGACTGAGAGAACTTCTCCATCTGGCAAGATCTGCACTAGCAATTGCTTAATCAAATGACTTTCAATGTTCTGAGTGCATCAAACAGGAATACTTACAACACAACAAGTATTTATACTTATCCCAGTATGTTCAAATATTCACCTAATGAACTAGTAAATAATATGGAAGTTTTTAAATTGAAAATTCCTAAAAATGTGTGCCTATAATAGGCAGTAAGCTAGTAAAAATATTTCAACTTAACATCTCCTTTATTGACAGATTTAAATCAATTATTATTATTATTACCAGAAGTAATTTCCAATTAACAACTGAAACCTTCTCTGTTAGGATATGACCCATCAATCCCCCACCTTTGGTAGGATATTCACAAGGCTGACAGGGGAAGAACATCATAGATGGCAGGGTTACTAAGCACACCTGAGTTACACCCAGGCAAAACAGGTAAACTCCTTCACTTGCTGACAGAAGGCTGTTGCTGAGCAAGTTAATGCTGCTTAGATTGTTAATGTTTCTTAAATCAGCATCATCTTTTCTGATCAAATTCAGAAACTATAAATCAGAGCAGAATTCTCTGTGAGATGGACATTTTTATTCATAGAACTGCAGTGAAAGAAACTCCAAGTCTGTGTCGCTTTCTGTGTGTCACTCTGGTGCCAACATGTCACAAAGCTAATAGAATGCCTTGTCACCTCAGACAGCAGGTATCACTCCTGACTTACCAAGACAAATATCTTCCCATTTATGGTGCTAAGAACAGCATACAGCACTGGTATCCTCCAGACAAGCCAGGAGTGAAACACAGTGAATTTTCAACATTTTAACTCAATGGTTTGTTTAGGACCCAGGTTAGATTTATTACTGATGGGGATCAGGCCCAACATGATGCATGGATCAAGTGTGAATTAGTCCTAGGCCATCTCCAGGGCCAGTCTGGATCTAAGGGCAGCTTTAATGCCTGTAGGTGGTGCAAAGCCCACACTAATAAATCCTTCTGGACCTTGTGGAAAGCATGCAGGCAGATCCAAACCATCTTTGCAACTTGCTTCCACAACCACTCTCCAGGTGTTCTGGAGAGTACTGCACAGATGGATGCCAGTGTGTCATCCCACAGGACACACATTTAGATTAGAAATTAGGAAAAATTTCTTTGCCAAAACGCTCATCCAGCCCTGGCACAGGCTGCTCAGGACAATGGTAGGGTCCTTTTAAATCCTTTGAGGGATTTAAAAGCTGTGTGGTTGTAGCACTTGAGGACATAGGTCAGTGGTGGCCTTGGCAGTGCTGGGTTAATGCTTAGACTCAATGATTTTAAGGGCTTTTCCAACCCAAATGATTTGATGATTCTCATTCTATCAGACCTAGGCTAGATCTTCCCACAATTTCCACAACGCTGTAGGTAACATCAGGTAGGTTTTGTCCTGCAACCCTACCAACTTGGGTAAACCCCAGCACCCTGGCAGAACACCAGTCTCTTCAAAAGAAGTGTGCCAAAGTCTGATGATACAGTTGTTACAGAGCTAAGACTTCTTACTGCTTTACCAATTTTCACTGTGTCAGTTTTCCAAACAACAAGAAGAAAAATGGAATAAACTCAGTTGGTCTTCTTAAGGATAGAGTTACAATGATATGCATAGGGAAAACATAAAAATATTGTATCTGGAATACTTTTAATCATGCTTGATAGGTCTGATATTGTCTAGACTTCAAATGAATAGTGACTCTTTAAATACACTGGTAGAATAAAAATAATCCCAACAATGCACAAATTACCCTTGTGGTAATTTATACTTAAGCTTAGTTTGTGAAAAATATTTTACCTAAGTGCTTTTCCTGGAACTGCTCAAATGAACCAGAACTGAACCCAGGCAGTAAAAGTGGGCTGGTAACATCTGGTAACTCCTTGCTACTAGTGGTCTGAACAAGCCCAGTGGAAATCTTGTGTCAGCCCCAGTGAGCAACTTAACAAACAATGACACTGTACAAGTCTCTGTTCCTTATGATATAATCATATGGCACATCTGTTGTGCCATTTGTGATGTTTTAGTAATGCCTGTTTTAATTTATATTTCAGTTCTGAATTTGTATTTTAACGCTAAGAGGAACATAATGGAGTTTGGATTAAAAAAGAAAAACCTGCAGTTCACATTCCAGCTAGACTGCCCAACACAGACCCCACTCTCAAGACACTGACACCATCAGGGACCCTCGACAGCTCCTCTCAGCCAGAGCTCTGCAGAGCCTTGGGGCCATCGGGCTAATTCTGAGAAGTCAAAAAGTTACTAAAGAAAAAAAAATTGGTCTTCAGTAAGCTTCAATTCACTAGGCAGGGTCTGGGACTCCAGTGTAACATTTCTAAAGTTCTGCAAAGAAAAAAAAAAATATTCAAAAGCTCAAATCTACCACTTCTGTGGTAAAGAAGACTGGGTCTAACATAAGAGGAGAAAAGTATTCGTCATTATAGCAGACAGACTCAGGGTGACCTTGAATTAAGCTCTCTTGGGGAAAATAAAATTTATTTTGCAAAATGAAGTAAGTCTTTTAATGAACAGCCATTATACAATTATCCAAAAGCAAGTAAAAATATGGAGCTAAGTTCCAAACCTGAACTGTGCGACCACAGTTCCACTGCAGTCCATGAAATTGAAACTATTTAGTTTACATCAAGTTAGACCAATGTAGTTTTCTTTTTCCAGGTCGATGAAAAAGAAAGTAATTATTTTATTGCTTTTGATTGCCTTTACATTAATTATGATATCCTAGTGAATTAGGTTCTCTGACATTTTAGGAGAGCTTTCTTGATGACTGGCGGATAGATGCCAGGCAAGGATTATTTTGTGGACAAAGAGACACTGCAAGTTGCAGAAGCCACAACATGCAAGTGTCGATCATCTTTGATATACACATTGAACAGACTGCACCAACTTTTATTACTTAAGTGTCAGAAGTGTCTGGATGCAACTGTGGATCTTTCTGCTCTGTTTATAGGCATTCCAGACTCAAATTCAGATGAAGCAGCCAGCAACAGGACTAATGCAACACAGTCTGATGAAAAACAAATGTCTACAAAGGTTTAAAAAAAAAAAAAAAAAAAAATTAACCTAGCCATTCTACAGTTCTGACTTAGTCATGACACTGTAAAGAAAAAAAACACTGGGCTCCCCTGCTTTTCTCACTCCAGCCAACAAAGAACTGCTTGTTTCATTTATTTCCCAGAAAGAAGCATTAGCCTTCTAACAAGGTCAGCAAAAAATGCTGCTTTTCAGTTCTGGTGCATTTTGTTCCAAAAATCTGTAAAGTATTAAAGCAAAAAGTTGCACTATCCCAGTGCACAGAGACTCTTTTATTCAGATTTCTGAGCTGAAAATAGCTGTATAAAGATTTCTCAACAGTTTCAACTGTTAAGGCCTGTGATATTCACATTTAACTAATCTTTCCCATCTTCGATGATTTAAGATTAAAAAAACCAATACAAACAACCTCCAGGTGCAACATCAAAGCTATGATTTAGCAGGAAGTTATTTAAAAGATTAGAGATTTACGCTGCAAGCACTTTTAACAATAAATCAGTAACAAAAATCATGATGGGGGCTGCTTGAGTGAAGAGACAGCTTTAATGCTAATGATTAATTACTGATGACTTAGATGTAAAATATTTAATAAATTGTTTTTACTGTTGCTTCATGCAGTCTTCAGCTTTTGTGTTTCAGTCACTTTGAAACTATGGAAATGACCCTCCACTCTTGCACTAGCACATGTTTGGACAACTAACCTTGAAGGAAAATGCTTACAGCAACAGGAACTTATTTCTGTCAAAATTAAAAACTACTAGAATTTGAAAAAATGCAACATCTCTCTTGAACACGTGAAACCTTTAACATTTCAGATTTATTACATGGTCAGTTGCTGGTTTAAAGGTGTGTGTCCTTTGATTTAATTGACCTGATACTGCAGTTAACTCCTAGCAGACTCTGGACCTATTAACCTTTTAACTCTTCTTAAACATAAATAAATTACTCCATTTGAAATCTGCCTGAAAAATCACTTGTTAGAGGTTTTAATTGCAATCAACCAAAACCCCCTCATTCTTTTGAGAGCTGTATCACAAAACTCTCATTCCCACAGTATGTGCAAGTCCTCTATAATGCTTTCGGCTCTCCTCTAAGTAATTGCAGAAGCAGGTGCCAAGGTTATTCACATTGACCACAAATGAATTGTGTTTGCTTCTTTCAGGATATCCAGCAATTAAAAATGACCTGGAACAGGAAGCCTTTCCGCCATGCAGGTGGTGTAAGGACTGCAGAGAAGGAAAAACATGTTCCTCTCAGTGTCACACATTTCTATCAAATTTCCAGCCAATGCAAACTAAGACTTGCAAAATCCTGGATGTTGGTGAACACTCTCCATGGACATTAGTGAACACTAAAATACACATAATCTGGTTTTGAACACTTTGTGAGTTTCTGTGTTCTTATCTCCAGAGACTGGTTTTGATATAGCTACCAAAACTGTCTTTTATCATCCTTAAACAATAGTAGTTACACCTCTTTTATCATGGCAGGATATGGAAACTTTGGTTCATGTGTTTATTGTTCCTAGATAGGATTTTGGCATTGTTTTATTGATTGGATTTCCTGGCTGGTTAAAAAAAAAAATAAAAGCAGAGGTAAAGTGCTGTAATTCCCAGTTGTCCAGACCCATTTGAAATACCATTAGCAATACAGCTGAAAGTTAAACTTCTTAGATTCATGATTGATTTTCTATTAAACAACAAGTGTCAGAGGCTGTTCACAGTAAGAAATTCTAATCTGTAATACCCAATGTCCTTCATCTTAAAGAACCAGTGAATTAATAGCAAAAGCCATCCTGCTTGCGTCACTTGGGTCATGCCTGCTTGTGGATCTTGACAGAGTAAGAGATAAAGTTCTCTTCTTCAAAAGGGGAAACCAAAAATAAAATAGTTCTTCACCTGGAGTTTGATACAAGAAGTAAATGTGGTTGAACTCTCAGGATCAATGCTTACTTTACTGACCCTAAACAAATTAACATCAGGCTTTCCACTGTTTTCTTCTGTAATTTTTTTCTATGTGACTGAAGTACAAAAGATACAAGCTTAATACAACTGGTTGATTTGTAAAATGGAGATAAATATTGCCAGCTTCTGCCAGAGATGAACCGTGTTAGTTTTTCTTATAGTCAGTATTTACACTTAATCTGATCAGGTGAAACTGGAGATGTCAAGAGCAAACTGAAGTACATGTGGCACCCTTCTCTCTCTGCCAGAAATTCTTCTCCCTTCTGAAGTGTTTGTGTGTGTGCATTTGTGTTGTGACATGTTCTGAAATGTTCTCCGCCTCTGTGTGACGTTCTCCTCCCCTCAGTGCTGATGGTAGAGCATCCATTTCCTCTGAGGTGCCAGTCTCCTCCTAATGAACACGAGAACTACGCCAGGACCTTCTCCTCTGTCACAAAGGATTTCCACACCTGTGTGCACAAAGTCCCAAGCTCCTGCTCTGGTGCCACCCCTGACCCTGCTTTCAGCAGGAGGCTGGGTTAGAGCCCCTGCCCCTTCCCACCTCAGCTGTTCTGTGATGGACACAACCAGAACTTGGGCAAGGCCTCAGCCGTGTGTGGAAACCCACCCAGGAAAGAAGTCCTTACCTCAGAACAGGCATCTCCACCTTTGTGAGCTCACAGAATTAATACTCATCTCCCAGCAACTGTCTCTCCATTCAGTACACCTGAATGAGTCCACTAATGAGGCTCTTATCAAACCTCTTTGAGGATGTGACCAGCAGACAGCTGATAAACCCACAGCACAGAGAAAAGTAATACAATCTGCTCCAGATATAGACAGAGTACAGGAACACTGAAAATCTCAGGAACTATAACATTAGTTATGATTTTTTCCCCTGCAAATGTGCATATTAATGAATTCATTTTGGCAAAACCTAAGAGAATATTTAAGTTACTACGTCAGTGTACAGAATTAAGGGTAATCCAGGTATATTTTCTGAAGGTCAGCAGACATTACGTATCCATCATTGCAGAACAGCCCCAGTCAGCAGGGACCTTGAAAGACCATCTTGCCCAAACTTACATGGAAGTTTACATTACATACATTGCAAGGGAGAAAGAGGATATATAGGGTAGAGTGGGTAGGAGATGGCTCAGCTCTAACACTTAAAATATCCACATGAACACAGCTTGTCCTTGAGCTCCAGACCTTGTCATTCCTCCCCTGACAGCCAGGTCGTAATAACCACAGCATTTCAAATCCCTTCTGCCCATCAATCCCATCTCTGTGCACAGTCTGATGAAACACACAAGTTCTTTTTCATACCAGAAGAGGTAAAAGCAGACACACATTTCTGTAATTGCTACTGCTGCAGTGTCCACTGTGAAGAGAAGCAAAGGGGATGCTGGTGGCCAGGCAGTGGGGAGCACCAGGGACACCCCACCTGGCTGGGCTTTGCTGGCCTGAGTTAGACCAAACACCAATTTTAACCACAGTTAGATAAATCAAAAGCCCCTATCCTTTCACAAAGTGGCAGAGCCCAAAACTCTCAAACCAGCAAATTCTGGGCACTGCTTAACACACGTTTCTGTCACCCACACGGGACATGGAGTAACTGTGCCTCACAGCCTGCAACTGCTATTTGCTCCGAGGCCCAAATCCCACATCCAGCTGTGCCACAGGATGGCCAAGAAGTTTTCTGGGGTTTTTTGCAGACAGTATGTTCTTCTTGTATAAGCTTTTTAAGGAACTCACATTTAAATTCACATAGAAATTCACATATAAATACAAGCTAACTTACACAGAAAACATAAATACTATTGGGGGGGTTCAGTATTTAATGTCAAAGTAAGTTGCAAATTGTTAAATCTGGGAAATATTTAAATGAAGACCAGATTGTGCTTACCCACTGGATGAAGACTACAATTATAAAAGAAATCGGTTTAAAACACCTTGAAGGTAGAAGGATGGAAATAACAATGGTTTTGAGTGCTGCATAATGTAGAATAGAGAAAGACTACAAAACAAGTATCACTTAATTTAAAAAATCTTGCAAAAAAAACTCCTGTAAGGACCTAATTTTTCATCTAAATCTTGGTACATATAGCTCAAAATCATCCTCCACAATCTTTTTAGACAAGGTAATGCCATGAAGGCAGAAAGGTGTGTGACCCTTAGCTCGGGGCACGGCAGCTGCCCTCTCCTTCCTCTCAGGCACGGGGTCCTGTGGATTGCTCTCCTTGCCCAGGGACCTAGGCCTGACAACCAAAACAAGGATTTAGACTAATTCCTCCTTCCACAAACGGCCTGTGATTCTACTGCAATAACTGACTGGCAAGAGATAGTTAATACCTTATCAATCAGCTGGAAAAGACTGGTTTGGAATGGGCAGAAAATTAGGAGCTGTGCAGAATCAGCACCACAGTAAATGACGTTTCTGAAGTTCTTATGAAAATGCAAGAAATACACTGTTTCTTCTTGTCTTCAGTCTGAGGCTGATGACTTTCCCTTTTGCTTCCAACAACAAAACATACACTGAAAATATTCCTATTAATGCTGCGCTTTCCTGAGTATATACATCTAAAAATCATCTTAGAAGTGTACTGATGGTAAAATGTTAAGAAAAGACAAATTGAACAAGACTGAATATAGGCTAACCTGCAGGAACATGCTTTCAATCTACATGACAAATTTTCCTATTCATTCATGAAATGTCACTGAATTTAGAGGTGGTGTGTAAATGAGCACAGAAATTTGCCTAGCATATATTACTTTTCTGTAAATTTAATAAGATGCATCAAAGGAAAAAACACCTAATGCCTTTGTTCTGTAACATTTAAAAGGCAGTGCTTTAAATGCTATTGTGAAAACTAACACTAATGAAGTGTTCACTTACAGCTCATAGTCAACATGAAACCGTAGTAAGGGAAAAGGTAGAAAAATACAGCAGATTTTTTAAAGTATGACTACTAACTTCAACCAACTTTCACTATATGCTTTTGTATGCCTCCAACACAGGCACTCTGTGATTTGGTATCACTTAGTCACACTCTGTACTTCGATAAAATGTTTTTAAGTGCCTTTGTACAATTCCCAGCAAATACTGCTGAAAGGAGTTTATAAACCAAAGCAACAAGCTGTACCAAACAAACAATATTTTCCTCTTCCTCATAAGAAGTACAAGGAAAACACATGTGTTAGTAATTGGAAGTGCAGACCAGTGTGCAGACCTGAAATACTTAAATCCTTTTCTTTTAAGTGTCACATCTTCAAAAGAAAATAAACTTCTTTTAGTTCCTACAGTACAACAACAAAAACAAAGCAAAGCAAATAAAAAAAAGCTAAGGCAAAAGACAGATGCACAGACTTCATTTGCTGCAAAGTTGCAAAGCTAGAGCCAGAAGAGTGTTCCTGCTGGGTGCCCAGCCGCAGTGCTGCTCCCCCTGTGAGACGCTCCTGGCCCCGTCCAGCACAGCACAGCAGCACTAAAAGCCTTCCTTTTGGCTACAGCAATCTAAAAACACAGACATTCTGCTTCAGTACGAGAGTCACATGTATTTTAAACTGCCACATGAAGTATTCAGAGGCTGCAGTGTTCTGTTCAGATTACTACAATCTTTGTGTGCTATTTCTCTATGTATAGATACATGCATATACACACAGTTTCTAGATTAAATCTTGTAAGAGATATTTTTTAATAAAACAGTGTCACATTTAGTGCCTTTGAAAGCCGTCAAAATGCGAAAAAGCTGACCAAGACATATTGGTGGAATGTTTTCTGGATTAAATAAATACGGACACTGTATAGATTTTTAAATAATATTTTTCCAGGGAAATTCAATCACATATTTGAACCGCTATGCCAAGAACTGCATATATACCTACACAAAAGGTAGAACCTCATCATATATATGTATATGTGTGTGTGTGTGTAAATATATCTATATATATAAATACATATATATATAAATATAAATATATATGTATGTATGTACGCATATAAAAGAAGGCTACTGAATGAAATACAGACTATATTTAATGGGTCAGATTTTGAGGTCTGTGGAAATACCCTTTTTGGGCACCTGCAATACCTTCAAGAACAGATTTTCATTACAGATTTATTTCTAATCCTTTGAATCTCAAGAAAGACCCTCCTCTAAAGACCCATCAGTACACGTGTGTTTTAGTCCAGGATTTGGCTTTCATTCACTTCCACTAACAAACTGAGGGGAAAAATGCTCTGCACACTGTCCTGATTTATGCCACTGCTGTTTTTTAACTAGGGACAATGTAACAGATGTTAACATAAGTGGGGGAGTTGGTATGAACAGAACCCCTGCTGTCCTATTCTTACCTCTTGGCCATTCCAGCACTGCTATAAACAGACTGACCCACACGCAGCTGTGGTTTGAAGCCACAGCAGAGCAATTGTTAGTTTTACCATGTGCTATGACACTCTTGCAGATACCCTAACCTTTCAGATTTTATCTGTGGATATCCATTCTCACATTATGGTTTGCTACTGCCAACTAAATCTTGTAACATAACCAATACTCTTACTGCATATATGCAATCAAGGCAGTTGATGAGACAAAGGTAGAAAAAAGAACTGAAGTTAATTACCTCTGAGGTAGTTCTAGGTGTTTCTTATAAATTTAAGACAAAAGTAAATATTGCACTACTTCTATCAGTGATCATTAGCAGACAAATGTTCAGCATTTTCTTGGCATGTGAAGAGACAGCACTCATGAACCACGCTGCAAGTGGACAGTCAAGAAATCATGAGATCAACGTACCAAAAACTAACCAGAACAAGAATCTGCTATGTGTTTTTAAGCCTTCCTTTTTGACATAGTTTTGTGATCTTGAGCCTGTAAGCTCACCTCTTCTCACCTTCTTGAGCAATATAAAAGTCAAATCTTCAGAAGTGAAACATTAGGGATTATTTGAAATTCTCAATTATACATGAAAAAATTTTCTTCTATTTACAAATTTTCCTTAAAATTTTAGAGTTTTCATGGCTTTATTTTCACTAAGGCTTAAATCTGGCAATATCAGATTGATGTAAATTGACAAATGAATTTACACTTGAAGTGCTAAACAGAAACAGCAAGGGAACCATACCAGTGGGTAGTTCATACTGCAAAGCAGACTGTTCAGTAGTTTGCAAGTTGCTTCCAGTGCAGAACCTCACTACACAAAAGCCCCACCACCATAAACAAACTAACAAGCAAAGCAGCTACACCTTCTGACCTAAAGAAAACACAGAGCTAACTGTGGACAGGTTATCTAACAGCTTGGACATGACATGAGGGGCTTATGGGGGTTTTATACCACCTCAGTACAGAAAAGCACAGACAGAACTTATTTTCCTATGTCTAATACTACACCAAAAAGCCATGAAGGCCCTAAAATAGAACAGGAGATGTTAGAATTTCACCTCAAATAGTACAAATTTGCTTGCTGCCAAGTCAACAGAGGGGAAAATCAAGTAAATGAAGGGAAAAACTACTGTTAGGTCTGACAGCAGAATCAGACCTACCTTCTTGAACCAAAAATTACTTTGACAAATCAGGAGGTGTCTCTCCTATCTCTTTTGTGTTTTCACCAGAGAGATGCCATTCAGTACTCACTGAGGTTTGGCTGAGACATTGCCATGGACCGCTGTGGCACCGGTGTGGACGTGGCTGCAGGATGGTGGCTGACATGACTCAGCGGCTGGCTCACAGGCTTTCGAGGATCTTGCCATGTTGTAATTTTTTCTATGTGACTGTGGAAGAAAAGATGCAAGCTTAACATAAAATACCTGGTATATTATACAAACAGTTAAGCATAATGTCACAAAATTCCTATTTGTTTTTCTTATTCCACATCTGGCCTTGCCATCTCACCCCCACCCACTTGAAATTATCTGTCATCTGGTTGTTTTTCTTCTGATCTTCTGCCCCTGCTGTTCTAACTTCTCTTGCTCTACTGTTGAATAATTACTT